GAGCTTTGTTATCTTTCAGCCGTAAGCGCTATATGCTGGGGATTAAGATCACTACTCCAAGACAAAGTAATAAGATGCAACTGCTGCTCTTCATCTTTTTACCGAACAGCGGCATCCTCACAGACTGCCCTTCTATGAATGAGATGGAGGTCAGAAATAAACTTCCATTAAAGGCTCATATCTTTCGTGCAAATGATCCTCTGTAATGTAAAAGGCTTTTTTAGTACTGCCAGTTCCCACTAAGAATCAAAACCTCCACTTGACCCACTTGCCCCTTTGTAAAACTTTTGTAAGCTGTGACGTGTAGTGATGTGCACATGGATGAGGTCAGACTGGACAAGAGAGACGAGATGTTTACGCTAGAAAAGCTTGTTTATAACAGAGGCCAGTGGAGTAGCTCTTTTTTAAAAACAAATGTTGAAGCCATCTCCTGATGGTGTATGTGTATATGGTTTGACATACAGTAGGTCATGTTTTTATGTTTTTAATTGACAAAAGCCAGAGTTGAATGATGACTGAAATCATCTGTTAAGACAGCTAACATGTATTACCAATGGTTAGCCTATTAGGGTCTGAAGCCAATTTGTCTAATGTTTTTTGTCTTCATTGTTACATTTATTTTTTGTCTTTACTTTAACATTTTTGCTGTGAACAAATACCGATGTTATATGAGAGCATTTATTGATATCTTATCTGTTTGTGCAGCCTAATCTCTCAGGAATACGTGAAATGACCACGACTCTCATAACAGAGCGTTACCTGGTGGTGGCACATGTTCAAATGATGTGCTGGCACCACAGAAACTGTGCCAAATGTAGGCTTGATGTTGCTACAAAATGTCCCTTCTACAGTACATCCTCTATACTGCATGTGACACAGAGCTGTGAGAGTGTTTGCCATGATTTGGTTAATTATCCCTGCTGCTGTTCAGCTACTACAGAGGACAACAGCCAATCACCTTCGACCTTTTCATTTCAGAAGTAGTCTCTAGAGCCCACGTAGGGGGGAAGGGAACGAGGATGCCGTAGCTAAGTGTGATCAATCAACACCATGTATTACAGTTGACCAACTCGTCCTGCATGTGTGAAATTTGAATAATTCATTGACACCCAACCCTTCAGGGGATATTTTTAAAATTGGATTATGAAAATAGATGATTCTGCAGGTTTTGAGAAATATATGTCAGGTTATATACATTTTAATATAAGTTGTAAACAAAAATCATAATTTGGTTAATTCTGTGTTTTCTTTTGAATTCCTCCAAACTATGTTTTTTATGATTAATTATGAATATAAGTATTAGTGCTATGAGTAGTAGCAGTGTTAAAAGAAGTTTGGCCTTTGAGATTTAAATTTTCAATTTTGAATCAGCATTGGCATTGCTAGTAGAGGCTGCAGATTGAATACATACATTATATACACATCCTAAATATATTTCATGGAGCTGCTAAGGGATCTTTTGTCAGACACAATGAACATGTTGTAATGGGAACATCAGTCAAAGTGTTTTATTACCACATCTGTGCTTTTTTTATCTGATACTCATAAGTGGTTTGTCCAAATTCAACATCCGGTCGTGAAGCATATCTTCAACAATTTGTAATTGAAACCGCAGAAATGTCTTTTTGTGTTCTTTCAGAGCACCACGGTCTCATGTCAAGGTCACTCCCATGTCTCTCAATAGGCTACTTTCATTGTATTGTTTTCCTTTATGCCATGCAGTGCTTGAATCTATTTGCAGCAGTGAGACAGAGCAGCTTGTTGGGAAAGTAGAATGATAGTCTGTGTGCTGCAGCAATAATATTTCAAGGCTGTTGTCCCCTGCGGTCTTAAGGGGTTCAGCTAATTTGTGTTAGCAAAGGTCAGATCCATCTGGAGTGATGTTTACATTCTGGGGTATCCTCCTTCCTCAGGCGTCCATCCGATGAATAGTGTCACACACACTGGAAGTCACACAGCTTTGTCCGAGTACAGTCCGCATTCCAGCCAACCTACAATACTCGGTATGTGGGGAATTTTGTACGCTCCATTTTAAAATGAGAGGGAGACGGACAAAAGAGCAGTTGCATTGATTTTTCTGGTTAACTGTCACCCTCATTAGGGTCTTTGCTGCACATACAGTGCTCCTTTATTTTCTCCTGCTGTTTGGGTGTAGTGTGACTGAGATGATATTGTTACTGTTTTTCGTGAAGGTCACATCTGCAAGTTGTAATGGCGGATCTCTGTGTAGAGTTTCCTGGTCTTTGATCGAGTAAAACAACACTTGTTTTACTATTTACATTCATTATTTTCTCAAACACATTTAACGTTGCCACTCAACTTTTTTTTTGTAGCTTTCTTTTGCGTGGGTAACACGATGCACACGGAGTACAGATTGCAGATGTGAGTCGTCCATGGACATAAGGGTCAGGTTAGCTGGCCTTCAGGCCTTAAATTAAAGGTCTCTGTGGTCTGTCATTGCTGCCTTTCAGGGCAAAACATGCTGTGACAACCGTCGCTGTTCAAACTCATGCTAACCCTTCACTTTGTTGTCTTGTTTTACACATATTTACACGTATAGAGCACGTCAATGATGAATAAATACAGGAGACGATTTTAAAGATGCAACTAGCTAACTAGCTTCCAGAATTGCAGTGTTTCCTCCTGACCGGTCAGCTTTAGTCAGAGTCTGGACTGGACGGCCATCAGATCCCTGCCGAGCTGCAAGTTCATCACGGTTGAAGGATATGCAATACAGCAAGGTGTTCCTGATTTTGAGTTTGTTGGTGATCGCTTGTCAATAGTCTGCTTTTTTAAAGTCATCCTTTTTATAAAATTACTTGTTATTTTTATTCAAAGTTTTAAAAGCATACCCAACTGAGTAGATGAATTTAAAAGCCCTTATATGAGTGAATTCATCGTTAAAACATGACTAGTGTACCAGATCTGGTCTTCATCAGAGTCTGCTTACCTGTTGTCGGTCTTAAACCGGACCAACAGTAGAAAACTGATACTTTGGCAGATTTACAGTAGAATACAGATGAGTTAGATTATCTTCATTATTTATTGTGATGTTTGCTTGGACACATCAGTTGCTGGCTATGAACAACAGATCTTTATCTTTGTGTTGGTCGTTTATCTAATGGCGTGTGTAAATTATTTGTGTTGACACACAGTTTCAGAGAACACAGCTGCAGTCCATTTACACAATGCATTATGGTCTGTTTACTTCATCTATCAACTGCTGTGCCACTGAATACATAATCCATTGCAGATGGAATAATTATCATTAGTAGTAGTAATAGGGAAAACAACAAGTAGTTGGGTTTGAACCTTACAAAAATATGTATTCCTTAGCGTGTTTAATCCGGGGCCACTTGGTAAATTTGTCTTTCTTATGTTAGGTGCTTCACAGGTCGCATACATTGGGTTTGCTGCAAACGGTGACGATGGGGATCGCTGAGATTGGCTCCGAATCAAACATATAGTAAATGCAAAATGTAGACATTTCAAAGCTGCAGAGATGGATATCAATATTCCATTATTTGGCCCTCTAAGTGGCTCCTTTCAAAATACAAAAATTCAATGTTGATTAGAGCAGAAACGATAAAGCGATTAGTTGATTGACCGGAAATTAGAAATGGACAACAATTTTGATAGTTGATGATTTGTTCACGTATTTTTTAGCCACTCACGTGAAAGGTTTTGCTGCTTTTCTTGTTTCTTAAATGAAATTGAAATTGTAATTGTTAACTGATGTATTGACTAAATAATCTGCTAAATAATCAATAATGAAAATAATCATCAGTAGCAGCCCTGCTGTTAATATCAAGATCATGTAGAAGAATTTGAAAAAGATGCAAATGGTCATACAATAATATTGTAGTGGGGGAAGTCCAAATGCACTGCACACAACAACTGGTTGTAACTGGCAGAGAAAACATTGTTATTTTCTTCTGTTTGTATGTATTTCAGCTTGGTTCAGAAATGTGTGTCCTTTTGACAGCATGTACTGTACGTGGGTATATGTTTGTATTTGTTAGGAAGCATTTAGATCATGTGGTTCTGACGAACCATTGTTGTGAGTATTGTAGTCCACGGCGGTGGTCAGTGGTGCGTCAGCGTGTAGGTGCTTAACAGCTGCCCACTGGGAAAAGGCGACCGTTACATCGGTCCCATGATGGTCGGACTCTGCCTCCCAGATGTGCTCAAAGCATCGGCATAGCCACTCAGCAGTTTTTGACAGATTTGTTGTGACGGCTGTTTAAATATAATCATTGTCCCAACAACTTTACATATCTACTGACAACTATACTGCAAGAGATCTCAGATGACCTTTTGCAGAGGTTGAATAGCAGCATGCTTTTTGAGCAGTGGTATGCAAGCACTTGTCACGCAATTGAATTACCACAAAGAATAGACATTGTGTGGGCTCTCATGCTCTATAGACACACACACACAGCCTGTGCCCCAAAGGGATAAGCCACATTGAAGTGTACATCACATTATATCCATTCTGACAACACACCCCAGTGATCATACACAATTAAGAGCAGTTGATCTAATTATTTCAAAACGTCTGCCTCTAACCACTGAGGGCATTTTACAGTTACCAGATCATAAATATTAAATTTGGATTTGTGCGTGCACTGAAAAGAGCTCAGCTGTGACAGAGAGAGTGCGGCTACAAGGAGCACCTCCCTTTTCTCCGTCCACTCCTCTCCCACCCTTCCACAGAAGCAGCCCATGATGTAATGTTCCTGCTGCTGATAGAGCAACCCCCTCTCCTGCTTTTTTTTTTTTATATTTCATTCCCCTCCCCTTCCGATTTGCTGCTGCCGCTGCTGCTCTCGCTGGTGGTGATAGTGGTTGTGGATGCGTGCGTGCGGTGCCGGTTCAGCTGCATCCCTGGGCATCTCTCGGGATCCCTGCAGAGCTCCTTTTCCTCTGTCACCACTCGACAGAGAGCCGCTCCTACAGAGCACTGCAAGACCTTGTCCTCTGCTGATAAAAGGTAATCTTTCTGGGTCATGACAAAAGAAATTCATTGTAAAAAAAGAAAGGAAAAAGGGAGTAGAGAAGAGAAGAGGAGAGAGAGTGAATTAGGGAGTGATAGGCGGGAGGTTGACTGAGTGTCCAGTTGAGTAAATTGGTCTGGTCGCTGAAAGCTTCTTGTCGCCACGGTGCTGGTGCTGGTGCTGGATGCCATGGCAATTGCTCCCTCTGTGCGTGTGCATGTACTGTAGTATGATGTTGGTTTCCATGGTAAAGATGACACGGATCCCATGCTGGCTCAGAGGTAATTCAGCATGTGTCGTGGAAAGCTACAATTACAAGTTTCTCATCTCTTGTGCATTAATTTTATTTGAGTGAAAACCGAAAGCTTTTTTTGTTAATACTCTTTTGAAAATATCCCGTCACTGTTGTACTTTTTTGGTTATAAAGAAACAAACAATAGATTTCATACTTCCTGAGAACATATGTCTCACTTTGATTCGTCTGCTCGACAAAAACTGGGCGTGTGCAATGACATTCATGTAGCGAGATGAATGATGCGGTGCGTGTTATCTGCATGCAGATTTCTGAGTGCTCCAGAAATTGAACAGTGATTTGCGATGCTTTACGTAGACGCTCAGCCAAACACTTTACCTTCTTCGTCATTGTCTTTCAACGGGATGTGCAGTTCTAGCAAAGGACCACAGAGGGTTGGTTGTAAATATACAGTAGGTGATTTTTCAGGAGTTGTTTAGCCTTAACTCTTGCACAGTATGAGATGCTAACTTAATATTTCATGTCTCGTCTGCCCCACATGTAGATGGCCTTATAACTAATTTATCCTCAGGATTTTCCCCGTGTTTGAGTCATCACTCACTTCCACTTCCTTTTGTCTAATGCTCTCCATTCATCTCATTAGGCCATGTCCCACAGTACATTATAAATATAACCTCTCTTTTGTTGTAATCATGTAGATGAACTAGTAAATCTTTAAATCACTATCTCATTAGCCCTTTGGGATTAGGATATATTCTGGAGAAGGCTCCCAGTTTGGATTAAGTCAAGGGAAACCATGTGGTACTTTTGGGGTTATTTCATGATTTCCCTGTAGGGAAGGGGTCATGTTTACAGTAAAGGTAATTGGTATTTGAGACTCAGCAGACACAGCATATTATCCCTGAGGTCATTACTCTTCTGCTGAAAATGGGTTATCTACCCACAGCCTGAATGTAACTAATTGACAGCTGAAATGTAAAGCACAAATATGTAATTTTCACTGAAAGACGAGGTATCGTCACCACACTGTGATTAAGTGATGAAACTGCCAATTGGCCATGATTGAGTTTGTCTTTAAACTCTTACCATCTAAGTAATCAATGATGTTAAATATTGAATCTAAAATAATTGCAAACTGCTTCTTTTCTCGGTAAAGTGGTGAATCTGTTCTGATCAACTTCGTTCTCTTTAAGTCCTAGTGGCTCTAAAACGTCCACTATATTGTAGAGAAATCAAATTCATTTTGTATATTCAATCAATATATATTGTTTTTGCCTGCAACTAACGATTATTTTCTTACGTGTTTAATAATTTAGTTTTTAGCACATCAGAAAACTGAAAAATGCCCACTGCCCTTTACAATTCCTCGAGGCCAAGACGACGTCATTAATGCCTCATTTTGACTGATCAAAAGCCTAATTTACTCTATTGTAAGAGACTAAAAAACAGAAGAAAATTCTCAAGTTTGAGTAGCTCGAACCAGCGAGTGTTTTTTACTTGCATAATAATTGAATATCAAAAATAGATGCTGATTTATTTACTGCCCACAGATTAAGCGATTAAAGTCTGATCCTTGCAGCTTGAAAACATTTAATTCAGAAATTGTATACTGTCCAATGAAAACCACGTTCCTGCATCTTTCTTTATACTGCTTTTAGTTTTAGAAACAACTTCTTGTGGTAAAAAAGATAAACATTAACAAACCCATTGGATTATCTAAAAAAGTCAAAGCTGAAGACCGCTTTCATGCCTCATGGAAAGTTTCCATTGTGGAGATACATGGTTTATAGGCCCTTTGCGATAGAAGATAGATAAGACGGATGACACAGATAAAATAGATTAGAAGGATGGATAGATAGATAGATATATAGATGTATAGACAGACAGACAGACATTAGCCTATGACATGAGCTTTGAGAATGTCATATCGACTTTGTTTCATTGGTGAATCCAATTTCTTGCCACTGGACCACAAACAATTGCTTGATTAATTCCCCACTCTGTTGCACAGATGATGACATGGTCGTTACTGTATGTGTGTGTGTGGGGGGGAGGGGGACCTGAGGTAGAAAACGCCGGAAAGTTGAGCTGCTGCCATAGACATGGAGGGCCTCCTGAGGAGCATCCGAGCTGTTCTTCTTGCTCTGTCTGTTGAATTTCTCGCCGACCTACTTGCTTTGGAGCTGTGCCATTGGCTCTGGTTTGTCAAATTGTTAATCCAATAAATAGCTTGGCAGTCAAAGCCACTTCAAACATATTTCTCGTCAAAAAGATAAACACAGATTATGAAAGTATTGAGGGGAAAAAACTGCCACGTCCAGAGCAAGCACCTGAAAGAGCGCATGCATTGATAAGTCACACTTCCAGCATGACAATGTATGATGATGTAGTAGACATGTGACTGGAATTACCGGGAACTGCAGCAACGGTTTTCAGACTAGTGAGTAATGGATAGTATGGTGACATATGAGCATGTATGCAACAGTGTAATGAAAGGACCAGGGGTGAGTCATGTAGATGGCTGAAAAGCTCTCACACACACTCCCCAGGGATTGTTCATTGGCATCACCTCCCTGCCAGAGGGCACTCATCCCACAAACCCTCTCTGCTGGAGAGCTACCGTGTCAGGAGTGGTGGAGTAATGCCTTTGCTTGTGTCATGCCGTGCCATCACAGCTGCTTTTTTTTCCACAAACAAACAAAGCTTTGGAGGAAAAACCTCAACATCCCAAATATCAACACCAGACCATCTGAGAAGAGGGTGATTGATCATATGCTTGGTGTATTACACCACATCAGACATGCTGAACCAGTCACACTCAATGTCTAAATGAGTCACTCACCTCAATTGTGGGTCACGCTGCCACCTCAGCTCGTACGTTTCCGGACAGCTTATTCACCTCAATTACAAACAGGAAAGCTTAGAAATGTAGCCTGTTTATTTGTGACAGTTCTGGGTCAACCATTACAAACTTATGCTCTGCATCCAAGCCTTTTTCAAATCCCACACAAATAGATTTTTATTTAAGTGTAGATCCAGTAGTTTTAAAAGATGACAAACATGTCATGCTGAATGTTGGTTAAAATTGGTATAAAGTGATGCACATTTGAGACATTTCATGGCACATTTATAAAAGAAGTTTTGAGTTTGAGTCCAAAAAGGACGTGTATGTTTGACATGGACAAAGTGTGCAAAAGTGGAAAAGGGCACCAAAAAAGCTTGTTTTGAAGTAGTTCTCCCTGTCATCAGAATCACGAGTGTCGTGTTTTTCAGTGGCCTCGTTTTACATTAAGACTGAGACTGAAAAATCAGGCCAAAGGACAAATGTAAGTGGTGTGAGGACAAGTTGTGACTTTAGTATCAGTTTTGCTTTATTACACAAAAGTTTATAATCCCAGGAAAGTTTGTTTCCGGGATGTTTCTTTTAGACGGTAGTGCTGAACAGATGCTTGAACCAAGTGTCGACCATTGTTACAATGTATACTGACAACCTGTAAGATGCACAGCAGTGTTTTTGCGTAAATTTGATTAGCTTCACTTCTTGTTCACAGTGGTTTTAGAGCTGAAAACATTCTAAAATCTCAGTGTTGTTGCCCTTCTTTCCTACTAAAATAAAATATATAAGAAAACGCTTTAGGTAGCCTAGCCGTGGAAAGGCAAATGTGCATTTCCTTGCATGTTCCCCTTGATAATGTATAACTGTGAAGATAAAGGAAAAGAAGAGGGAGGATGTGAACTATGCTTTTGCCATTGGCCACATTTTTCTGTCTCATGAATCACACAAATTAGAGTGTTTCAACATGTTGAACAGTGCTGTGTTAAGGAACACATTACTGCTGTAAAACTGTCTAGATGACACAGTCAAACAGTGTAATGGCTGAACACAGAAGACATGGAGCTGAGAGTTAGGTGTCAGGGTTGTCTTCACTGCTCCTGTCAGCCTTAGTGACTCTTAAGTAGCCAAGTGCTGCTATCTGGTGTGTTTCCATTAAGCTAATATGTGGAACACGAGGGCTTATCACAGAGCTGTGATTCCTAAACTATTATTCATTTATATAGAATGACCTGTCGGCACTTCTGCCAGCTGTGTGTGAAACATCTTAATGAGAAACAATCAAACTTGCATTTTCATGTTGAAATGTTTCTGCGTTCATCAGGCTGGTGTCTGGGGTTCTTTTATACATTTCATTGATCATCATGTGTTTTATAGATCACCATCAATACTAAGAATATCCAAGCATACAAAAAAAACATTTCTATCAATTAAAAAAATACAAAATACTGTTTGTACTTTTAGAAGATACCAATATTTACAACTGAAATACAAATGATCATCAATACAAAGCATATAATAATAGAACCACCTTGCTTTTCAGAATATTCTCCTTAAATATGAATTCGTCATTTGGTAAAAAAAGGTTTAATTTCATTTCCCAAAAAACAACACATTCTCTACACTTTCAGAAATGGCAGTATACTCAAATGTCTTCCATTTCTTAAATTTCTCATCTTCCCAAAACATCATTTATAACCAGTTGCAACCAATGGACATTTCTGCTGTTTTCCTAATTGCCATATATGACAGTGGGGTACACTTAGTGTAGAAGTCGGGGAGAATGGAGGCAGTGAAAAGCGACATTTTGAGAACAGCGACATCAACAAGGTCACAAACAATGAGATGGCCGGTCTGTTTGACCGGACTGAGCCACGTGTCCCTTTAACGTTCTATGGATTGTTTGCAAAAGGTCGTCTGCATGGCGGTGGCAGGTGGTCCAAGTCAACAAGAGGTGTGTCACCAGTCCGATGTGGCACGGGATATCTGACTGACATGGGCTGTAAATAAGACGTCCACTGAGTATCTTTCTTGTGGCAAAGTACGTCTCAGGTGACCGCAAGGAATCTTGACTCTGCTCAGATACACGGAGCCGACGTTCAGAATCCCAACGCCTCAAACTTGGCATCGCGTCTCCCTCTTTAGCAGTTGCCTAAAGTGTATAATTAGAATCTGCTATTTTAGAAAACCGGCGTCCCCGTCTCAACACCCCGCTGTCTTACACCTCTCTCTACTTGCACTGGAAATATTTTTGGAGAAGGCATGTGAAGTTACTTGGTGACACTTTTAACAGGACTTTTATTTAACACTTTGGTGTACATTCATTGGAACTTTTTTCTCTGTGATGCCATTAGAATACATGTTCAACATTTAATAACGATAGTGTTGATAATATCAATGCACAAGTACCAAATAAATCTCAGCTTTTTTGTAAAGAAAACATAAAGAGCAGTATGTGAGCTGAATTTCCACTTTACAATTCATGAAACGGCCCCCTGTGAGACCGTTTCATCACTTCTGTTTACTTTCAATGTCACGGCCTGAAAAGACATTTCCTTACCAATGTTACAAGTATTATTTTAGAAGTACTTTATGGCCTATCTTTACACACCGGCTCTTATTTTCAACTTCGTATGCCTTTGATGTAGCCTGTAGTACATTGCCTCATTGTTGGATTTGTCATTGATAAAATACTAAAGCATCTGTTGTATTTCATGCCAGCAGGGTGGCAGTGTTGCAACACTGGGGATATATGATTAACTTGAAAATGAATGGAATATTCCTGATGGACGAGTACATCTTCATTCTTGAAACTAAAGGGAAAGGAGGAGTGCGTATATGTACCAAAAAGAACATTTTTCACAGATGTATCATTTGATTCATCAAAAAAGGCCACTTTAGTGATGGTTAAAGCCTTAAATATGAAGTGATCTAGCAAACGTACAGCATGCAGTAGGTATTGCAGTAGGCTTATTGTTCATTGTTTATTGAAAAATGAATGAATTAATGAATAAACATTGTATGACACAACAGTAAATAATTTCAATTTTAGGGTACAAATGGTAGGAGTATGAGAAGAAAGGGTACCATGTTGTACTTGGTTAGTGGCATATTCTCCTAAAGTTTTTTTTTAAACCCGATAGTTACAGTTCAGGTCTACTCATTTCTGAGCATGGTGATCTTGATCATTAAAGAAGTGAATGGTTTATGGATGGCCTCTGATAGCAGATTGGACATTTTACGACGTGATTACTTTAGATTTTGTTAACTTCTCACTGATATTAAATGCACAGAAAGTGATTAATTGATGACTGTGATTTGGGAAAGTCAGATTTTTTTTTTTCTGGTTGATTGAAGTTACTGGTAATTACAATCATTAAAGTCAGTCTTTATTTGGATGCAAGCAGCTGGCTGAGAGTCAAACATCTGCAGTCCATCACAAGGCAACCAACTCCCATGAGAACAAAGAAAACAAAGGGGTGATTAGGACTTTGTCTCATTTAGTTTCTGCTCACATTGTAAATCCAGCCACGTCATGGTACGTTGCATAAATATTTTTCTTGTGTAACCTCAAAATGTTGCTTTTGCATTAGGTGGCAATGCTTTCCCAATAGCAGAAAGTCAGTAGTCTTGTGACCAGAAATTCCCAAGATACATCTGAAAGTTTTGTTAAGTTTTATTCATTTAACCAAGATTGACATTTGCATTCTTTTCATATAAGGACACTTGCTCTTTATTGCTCCTCTGCCATGAGCAGCGCTGCAATAGTCTCCTACTTGCGCCGTGTAACATGATTCTCTAAAACGTAATAATATTTCCACTGCTTCCTAAAAATATGAGGAATATTTAAACTTGCACAATGGTGGTCAAAGTTAAAAAGGAGTCACGCTCATCCTGTAGAAGAGCACCTCACTTCGACTCCCTCATGTCTCCCTCCCTCCCTCTGACAGTGTGTGATGGGAGGAGCTCCAGTGTGTTGAGTGTCCAGAGGCAGGCTGTAGTACGAGACTGTGTCAGAGGGAGAGTGTGGACCTGCGGACTCAGAGCTGTCATCTACCAGACTCTGCTGTTTCTGTGGAATTTTTCTTCTGACACTTCCTGGAGGAGGAATCAGTCTGTCTGTGTCACCTAAAGGAAACCTTTTTTAGATCTAAAGGGGAGTTTTTGTTTTCTCGGCTGAGTGGGATTGAGTGTAAGTACTGCTGTTACAGAGACTACCCCTGTGTTCATTAACTGTGTGGTGCCGGGGCTTCATGAATCATTGATGTGAGAACGCTGCAGTGTTGGTTACCTATTGAAAACGTGCCTGTCATATCCCTGTTAGAGAATTATTGAAAAACCTTTTATGACTAAGCCTGCATGGGGTTTGTTGTTAGTTTCTCTCTTTAAAGAGAAAAGTGGGTGTGAGCAGACACAAAACAGTCCTCCGCCCTCTCCAGTAGGTCTTTATCGCAAGGTGATAGCAGGGCAAGGGGATCATTAAAAACCCAGTCTGAGTCCAAGCTTCTGTATATGTGTGTGTGTGTGTGTGTATGTTGTGCTTGTATTTGTGGGTGATAATGTATGTGTAGGAGCAACCCTTGCATTTAGAGATGTTGGTCTTGGACTTGTTCTCTTTGGAAACACAGCTATTTACCTGGGTGTGTTCGTATTTTAGGGCTTGCTGGCTTGTGCCTGAGTGTCTCTAGTAATGCAGAAAAAAGAAACAGAGGATGGTTCTGACTCTTTAAACTGAGGCACCACTCATCAGGAGTGAGCCTGTGACCGGGAGGGCGGCCTCTTTCCACACATAGAAGTTAGTGAATGTGGCAGCCAGTGCACACACACACACGCTTTCCCAGCCTGGAAACTTTGTGTGGATCCACAGCAGTGTGGAAAAGCTGATGGGCGAGAACAAGAACATAATTATCCACACAAAGTCTAAATTGTCTTTGGTGCGTGTGGTTGTGAAAGCTGAGAGCCAGCACAGTCAAATTGTTGGGGAGGTTTTTAGGGGTTCATGGTGTGATGCTGGCAGCCACAAGACAGAAGCATCAGGTGTTATTGTGTGAAATTCAAATCTCTCACCCACGCGCTGCTGTCAGCACAATCGGGGCCAAATTGTCAGATGTGTGGGTGGTGTTAATGGACAAAAAAGCATTAATGGAAAAGTTTGTCAAAAGTCAATGAGGTCCATTTAAGATTTTTTTTTTCTCGTCTTGATACGTTTTGACTGCGCACTGCCAAGTGCCTTTTACTTGAAAAGCTCTCAAGCTCCTTTCCCTGTGTCAATAGAGTTTGACAAAGCTGCTCTTTTGTGAAGCAGAAGAAGAATAGTGTTATTTTCCATTTCTTTGGCGTGGGCTTAGGTTTTTAGTGTTTCATTAAACACTACATGTTCTATTTGAAGATCAATCCAAGTCATGTTTTAAAACTTAGAGTATAAAAAAGTTTGCATGGAAGAATAATTAGTTTTATATCTAAATTGACTGGATATATTTTCTTCTTCTCCATAATTCACAAATTTATTATTTTAATTTCCTTTTGAGTCCAGAAAAGTAAAGAAAGAAAAGAAAATGTGTTTTTATTATTGCACTTTGTTACCTTTTGCTGTTATCAATATACACATTTGTAAACTTTTTTTTAGGATTTTTTAGGATTTTCTTCTATTTTAATCAGGTTGTTTTAATGCACATATTGAAAATGAGCATACAACAGGAGGATGTAAACCCACCTTCAGACACATATCCTTAAATGATCAACAAACAATCAGAACTGGAATAAATAGGAGCTTTCATGCATTGTTTTATGTGGCTGATATTATTCCACAAGTAGGTGGAATATAATCAGCCGTGCTATCTCATTTGTGACAGAGGGAGTTTTTGTTTTATGGCTTTGTATATGGAGATTTATCTGTCTGCTGGAGAAAAGCCGGTCTGTGCTGACCTTGGCCTGCTGTTTTCTTTTGGTTTGATCCACAAAGAAAACAGCTGGCAGTTGCATTCTGGATACCAGCGGCCTTGACAATGAACCGCCTGTATGATGCTGTCAGAAAAGCTTTGGCTCGTTGGTAAAGCACGGTGCCTGTAATATCAATACCTCCAATCCAGACTTCTTCAAAAAAATGTATCTCATACCATGGTGATAGTCACTTGCAGAGAAAGGATGAGTATATCAGTGTTGCAGAGTTTAACTGGAACGCTGAAACATTCCTTTGCAGAGTGAACATTAATCTGATGCGGTGCTGTTCTACATCAAGTCTGCTGAAAGGAATACAAGCAAAAGGATGAAATGATGCGTCTGTGTTGTAAAGCTGCTCAAAGCAGTGAGCAACCTGTTGCAGATTACTAAATCTGACAAAGACAAAGAAGAAATAAATCTCAATGTTTTATCACAGCTGATGCTGGCCCCATATGCACATGTTTCCATTTTGTCAGCAAATATCCCAAGGGCATTTTCTCATCATTAGGCTACTCTGATCCTTCTCCTTCATCTGTTCAGGTTGACACTCTCCCTGTCATTGTGTGTGTGAGAGAGACATTGTCTTGATTTTCTTTCAAATGCTGTTTTGCCCTCCATGTGGTTTAGTGTCACTAATGTTAGATTTCATGACAATAACACAGGTTTAAACAATATCGTTTTTTGTACATAACGGTATGTGTGTAATTACAGACCAGAATGTATGTGACAGGAGCTCTGAATTGGATCTGATACTGTTATTTCTCTCATGAAATTCAAGGCATGTTTTTAAACTCCAGCCAAAATATCGCATGCTTCCTTCCAAGACTAGAGCTATGCTTACTGCAGTAACACAACATGGGCCACATAAAAACAGCTACTCCTTAATCATATAGTGTAGTGTTGTCCCTAATTACTCTGCAGAACAGATACTGTATACAGGCTTGTAGAAACCTGAATACCATAAGTAGAAAAGAAAGTTATTTTTAAAAATGTTGCTTAAAAAAAGGACAACATGTTACCATTTCTGCTATTTTTATTGATAATGTTTTTACATCCTGTTTGTTATGTGAAAGTTGGGAATGGTCAGAATGACACTGACCAAGTAGTGTCCTTGGTCAGCAGCACTATAAGGTTTTTTTTTTCCGTGTTGGTTTAAAAGTTGAGATTCAAAGTTAATTTTATATCTCGGAAAGAGCGGTTGACACAATGATCCCAAAAGTCCATTTAGTAGCTGTTCTGAACCTTTTGATGATATTGCATGATCTTCATGTCTTGTGATCTTATCTGACTCTGACTAAAATGAGTGACAAAGGGTTAATAGCTGAGGCAGAGGAGGAGTGGGCTGTGGAGTGGCCAGCCACTTGTAACCTAAAGGTTAAATACAGGCCTTCAGGGAGTCCTATTACTGTGTACTCACTGATGGGAACTCTGCAAACATGCATTCTAGGAGCACAGCGGGCTCCTCTGTTTATACCCAAACCACCACTGTGCCACGATGTGGGAAATGACTGTGGACATGGAATGAGGCCAGATCTCTGTATTTTCTCCAGTGTTTCACAAACCGTCAGACCCCATATGAAACGTGCACCAAAACACGTCACATACGTATGAATTGCTCCCGGATCTCGCCTTGTCCTCGCAGTGCCTTATTGTAACTGTACACAAGCATCTTTGGGAAACCATGTGTTTGCATCTACGTACGTCAGCGATTCTTGTGTGATGGTGTGAGCGTCGCAAAATTGTCTTTTCTGGGTGTGTTTACATCACCCTCCTCCTCACACCTGTTCATCTTGCATGTTATATGTTCAACAATAAAGGTCTATTTCAATCCTCGTAGCTATCTGCGCCCCTGACGGTGGACTTAAAGGATGACTATGGAGTGACACACACAGCAAACGTGCATCAGGTTGTTGTTAGCGGTCGGATATGTTTGTGTGCTTCCTGACAAAAGTACGAGAGTAGGACTGATTAATGGGATCAGCCACCAACCGAGCCTTGTTTAGCAGCCTGTCCCTCCCCCACCGCTGTGATTTGATATCTCTGAGCATTCCGGGATGTGCCCTTTACTCTGCTAATGCTGCTACTGACCCCTTCAGAAATTCCTGCCGTAACTCTCTGATCAGATGTCTAATTGCCTCCCTGAAAACAACCTGTGCTTTATTTGTCTATTAGTGTGTCATTCTGTACTAAGAAGTAGGTTGCAGTGAGATATTTGATGCACATTACTGGTTGAAACACTGGTTGTCACTCTTCTGACTGACGGACAAAGTTGTTCTTCTGTAACCTTGGACACAAATAGTGATGGGTGAGGCACGTGCTTCTCAGTCAGACATCCTTGCTGAAAGTTATGAAAGAGAAATGTGCAAAGAAAGATGACAGGGAGGAGGAGTGATGCTGGTATTTAGTTATTTCATGCTCTGTTAAGATCCATGGGGGGGGGTGAGTGTGTAGCTTTTATCCCTTAAGAACACCCCTCCCTTTAATGGTCTGGACGTATGTAATGTAACCTGCTCTGCGCTGTGTTCTGCTTGGTGTCCCCCCCATTCCAACTCTGTATCTCAGAGTTGGAATGCTAAACACATTCATCGCCTCAAAGGCTTTGTCAGATATGACTTTTTTATGGCAAAGCAGAGAAAATCAGACTTTAGTTAGCCAGATGTTTAGTGTCTATGTGACACTTAAGGGTAGGGTTGAGCATTTTAAGTGATTTCTATTCGACTACTCATAAAATGATTATCAAATACAAAAAAAAGCTACCATTTGCAGGTCATCAGAAGACTCTGTTGAACAATGGGTCTTCAACTCCTATCTCTGAATAAAATGGCAAATGACGGTTACATATGACTCCATGGTAAGAGATCTCCATGAGTCTGTAGCATGGACTGTGTATAAGATGTGGACGTAGTAGCTGTGACGTCAACCATTTGTTTTGTGGACTGCCGTTTTGAAGTCTTGAGTTCTGCATTTTGGCCGTCGCCATCTTGGCTGTTTGCAACCAGAAATGGGGGTGGGAACGAAACCCTGAATAACACATTTTTAGGCGAACCAAAAAGGTTACAACTAACTAAAACACACTGTGAAACGATTAAAGTTGTAATGAAAACACAGGCTCCAAGACAGGACAACGTCGGGGTAACGACCTGTCATCACTAGGTAGCTACGCCCTAAAGCATACTCTGCTATATCGTCTATTTTACTCAAAATGGGACCATAATTTACAAAATGAACATCATGCTGTATTGAAGAAGACTT